CATAACAAGAATTATTTGATCACTAAAGAATCAAAACACAGTCAAAATAAATTGAAGGTTGAGTTTTCGGGTTTTCTAAGCAATCTTTTTTCGATTAGTGATATTGGAGTGCTTGGCACTGCCCACTTGGTTAGTGCTATTGGAATACCTGGCAGTGATAACAAAAGTGCTTTGAATTTGGACAAGCAGGATACCTTTTTGCTACCCTTTAAAGCAACTCCTTTTTCCAGGCTTCTCCGGAAAAAAAAAGATGGGACTACTTTAAGGAGCTCAGTTGTCTTTTTTTTCAGCTCCAGTGGAACTGCTCCCAGGCCATATTTGCTCTGTTTTGTGGAGAAACATGTCTTCACTTTAAGTCCTCTTTCAAGACCCAGAACATACCAGAACAAGCTTCATCATAGTTAGTCTTTCAGGGCTTTAAAGCAGGGCCGTGGCATGCCAGCAACCAGGCCGCACAAACAAGCAAAGCCCCCATCCGCGAGATGCAGGCAGCCCACAAAACCATGTCCTCTCCAGTCCGCAGAAAAACCTCTCTCCACGGAACTGGTCCCTGGTGCCCAAAAGGTTGGGGACCTCTGCTTTAAAGCACTTTAAAGAAGCAATTCCAAAGGCTCCACCTTCTACTCTATCAGGAGGTGGTCTAAAAGAATTGACTTGGGAAGAGGAAAGGAGAAATATAAATTAAAATATGGGCAATTTTAAAGGGATATTAGTATCGTTTTAGCCTTCTCTCCCTCCCTTCTGTCAGCACAAACATGGCCAGTAACATATGATAATATTTCCTATATGGGTATTTTGATTGTCTTCTTAAACTGTGAAGAAAATAAGGATACAGATGACCATTAATGGAATCTTAAAACACTGTTGAAGAAATGAGAATAAAGTTTTTTTTAAAAATACAACACTATTCTGAGAAAGAACAAAACTGGTATGAATTAGGAAGGCACATCTATTTTTCCTTTTTCTTAAAAAAAAGAAAAAAAAAACCTCACACAAAGCAGAAGGTTCATTCTTGGGTTAGGGGAAAAACATTCCAGACTGCTGCTTGATTTTCCACGGGTGATATTCTTTTGCTAACTTTTTCTTTTATCATTGTTAGAGCTCTTTAAGCGAGTGCCATAGACAAGGCAAACAGAAATATATACTACAAAGTGCTCTATAAAGACTGCAGGTTGAAGTCCCAGTGGAGGCTGGTGCTCCTGCTTTCTTACTGTAGCTAGAATGTATTGATTTTTTTTCTCTCCCCCACTTTAGCTGCATCACTGAATTAGATATTGTGAAGCATCTTTCCTTGCGAAGACAGGAAAAACTGTCATGAACTTTTTCACCCTAACAATAGGGCATTTCAGTCTGAAAGATTGCAATAACGATTGAAGCCTTCAAAAAACAAAGCTTCTTAATGTATCCCACGCTGACTGTTCTGCCCAAAAGATAGCTGTAGATCTTGAGGAAATAGGATGGCAGATGGGGGGGGGGGAGGAGGGCGGCGTGAATTTTTTAGAGCTGTTTTGTGTGTTAAAAAGAAAATCAATTGATGAAAACAATGCAGTCCTCTGGTGCGTTTCTCAGAAGGTTAGCACAGTGGTCTCGTCCAAGTTCTCAGCAAGCTGTTCTGTTACTGTTATAATTGGCTGATGAGTAGGTTTGGACCTAACTAGAATGCCAAGAGTTCGATTTCATGGTGTCCTCTGTGAAGATGTGTCACCATTTAATCCTAGCTTTAGTGACATATTTTTTTTTAAAAAAAGAAGGGAAACTCATGGGAAATCATTATGCTGTTTATATGTCTTCCATCCTGGAGAGCATTATCCTGTGATATTTTAGCACTGTTTTCTAGTGCATGATGGTATCTAGCGAAGGTTAAGGCAGAACAAGTCCCTTTGCAATTTTGTGACTACGGTATATTTCACTTACTGAAGGAGAAGGGATAACTGACAATTAAGAATTCAGAATGTCACTAGGAAACATATTCAGCTGACCAACAAATCCTCCGGGAGGATGCTTTTTATGAACCTAAGAAGATAGAAAAATTGGGATATTATGGGTTTGTTATATAATATCCTATCTTAAGGCTGTATTGTTTCTAGTAAACATTCCTAGGGTGTTTTTTTTAAAAAATACTCTGTTAATTAAATATATTTAATATAAAAGAAGTAATGAAAACACATAAACAATGCTATTTTGATTTCTTTGTAGTTTATGTATTATCTTCAAGCTTATGTAATCACTTCATTTTTACATGTGTCTGTTTGGTTAGATCTAGACTTACTAAAACCAGACTCTTTCTGAAATCCCATTCCCTTCCCCTTACCCAAAGCTTAAAAACAAAATCTGAAGTTGATGCTTTTAAGCCACCTCTGGAAGACGAGAAAGGAAAGTTCATAAGTTTGAGGTCCATTCGTGGACTGCTGAAGTGCAATTTAGGAATAGCTCCGAAGTCAACCAATAAAAAGGTATTAATAGTGACTTTGTAGCCCAGATACACTCCAATAGACCTAAATGACCTATAGTGAAAAGCTTTTCTCTCACTATATTAAAAGTGTATTTAATTGCCTGCAGAGCTTTTTCAATATTTTCCCTCAATACCTAGATTAGTGACTATTAGGACTTTGTTTTGCTTGGGTTAACAGCCTGTATTGTTATTCAGTTCACATATCCTTTAACTTACATCCCCCATCACCCCTCCTTCTATGAATAACTAAAATGCAAAGCAAGATGAATTTTGTAGCAGTAGAGTGCTGATTTTACAAAATGCAAATGAAAAAGACATTTAATGTAGAATTCTCATGTAAAGGTGAACTGAAAGGCTTTCTAAATACCAGAAAATAAGAGTTTAGGCCAGGGTGGTCAGCATATAATATGAGATACAACTCAGCCTACCTGCTGACCTGCAGGAAGCCATTCAGTGACTGGTGACATGTCCAGATGAAGCACAGCCAACAATCTGGAGGGCTGGGTGGGTATTTTAAGAACAGAACTGGGAATGGGTGATCACCATGGAAATATATTCCAAAATTGTTTGCTGGCTTTTTAAAATGTTATTTGTCTTTTGCAAAGTTACCAGATTAGCATCAGATTGGCCAACTGGCAGGGAACTATATACCCAACAGGTCTGGAGGGTTTCAGGTTGGGGATAATATACTTTTCTTTCTAATTCATCATTTTGATACAATTACCTGATCTTCCTTAAAAAAAATAGAGCTTGAGTTTAGATCTACACAAGAGCTAAGACATTACAAAGCAAAACATACTGATTTCATCTCTATTTCCTTTTTTTTTTTAATTGAAGTGTATTTTCTGTTCTGAGCATACTTTCTTCACTTTTTCTTTGTTGTGGCACCCAACCAAATATTGTCATTATGGATGGTTATAATAGAGTCTGACTTACTATAGGCAGTGTGAACAAATGAACTTTTCAGCCAGCCCTACAAGGCTCTTATCCTACAAGGGGCAGTATGATTTGATTGCATTGATCAAGACTGCCTTCTACTACTCCACTACTATTGCTCTTGACTTTGTTTTCTCATCCAAAATCAATATGATATGCTTCAGGATAAACATTTTTCATTACACAATTTCCTTTCTGTGAACTTGTAAATAAATAAAAAAACTTTTCTGTTTTTTTATAAAAACATTTTTTGTATTTTTTTGGGGGGGAGGGGGGAAATGATTTGCACTGATCTTAAAACAGAAAACTTTTGATAAAGGAGTATTTAACAACTATAGATAAGCTTGAGGTTGTGATTAAAATGCTGGACTAGAAGCAGAGAAGTCCAGTATGAAGTTCCTCCTCAGCCATGGAGAGTCACTGAATGACTTTGGGCCAGTTATTTTCTCACAGGCCAATCTACCTTATAAGATTGCTGTGGGGGAAAAATGGGAGAGTGTTCTAACTGCCACTTTGAGCTTCTGAAGAGAAGGCAGGATCTAAATCTAGTACAGCGGTTCTCAACCTATGGGTTGCGACCCCATTTGGGGTCGATCGACCATTTCACGGGGGTCACCAAGCAAGGCTGTCCGCCATTTTTTTCCCCTTTTCCGGCGGGTGCCTTACCTCCCTTGAGCTGGGCCAGCTGGTGGTCGGCCTGCTCCATCTCTGCCGCTTGCCAGCTATGCCTCGGCCGGCGCAGGGGGCGAACCACGCATGTGTGGCGCTCCCGGGAAGGGAAAGTCCTTGACTTACGACCGGTTGGGTAGTCCTTGACTTACGACCGGTTTAGTCCTCGACTTACGACTGGTTGGGGGTCGCTGCATTAAAAAGGTTGAGAACCACTGATCTAGTAAATACTGTATATACATGTTGTGGAAACAGTCAACCATATAAAGTTGATCTGATCCTCCTAATGAAAAGCTGTTTTTTCTTTCTTTTCAATATCTTCTTTATGCCAAGGGCCTTTTTCTATTGTCTATTTGCAGCCCTTGAACTAAGTTGAGCTGATCTCTTGGTCTATCAGACTTTAACCCAAACCTGTCTATCAAATTACGTATTTTTTCTAGAGTGACATACTTTTCATTCTGTCCTTGTTAATCGTAACAAGAAAGGATAACTTTTGATTGTCACATTCCCAGATTAGAAATCTGTTAGGAAACGTTTGATAAATGAGTATTTAACAACTATAGACAGCTTTAAATATATTGCTAATTGCTTCCTTATAAAATGATTATGGGTTACATCATCAATTATTTCTTATGAAATATATGGATTTAATCTCCACTGAACTTTGCTTTGATTGTCACTTGGACCGGTGATCTTGCACTTAGGGTGTTAGAGATGAATCTGTGTGTTGTGTGGTGATCTATCAAATCAAACACTTCCCTGTCCTTGTTAAGACACACTAAATCTTTCATTAATGAAGCCAGCTAGACTCCCAGATAATCAGAAGACTTCTCCCTGGCTGCTGTGATGGATGAATGTCTTTCAGATTCCACTAGCAAAATGACTACTGGATATGATCATGTTAGATCAAGTGCATTATTTTTATTATTATTATTTATTACAGGGTATTGTTTTAGAAAATGAAGAACCTCCCAAGATGTTTCTTGATTTTCTCAACGTTCGTCACTTTCCTTCTCTCCCAAAAGCAGAAAGTTGTGGGTAAGATTCTTATCCATACAATTCAAAATACAACAAAACACAATAAACTTAAAATTCCAATTTCCCTTTATTAATTAAAATTTTATTCACAATTTGTTTCAAAATATCAGAATATTTCCTTAAACAGGGCACTTAAAAATGTTCAAGAAAATCTTCAGTGATTCTATTTTGCATATAAAACAAGGAAATTCTTAATGAATGTGTTTTGGCATTACCATGCTGAGATTGACTTCATATCTAAGTATTTGGTATAATTTTGCATTAGTCTGATTCAATAGCTGCTCCAGGTTTAGAACCTTTGCTGACAACATAGGTGTCTTCTTTAGAAAACTCATTTATTTCAGTGGAAGGAGCTTATGTATGTCTATATTCTTTGGAAAAAAATATAATTATACATACTAAAAATCCTTTGGGACATTTGAAGACACATGACCTCTGGAACAGTAATGAAACGACACTAAAGAAGTTGGGTGTGTAGAGGGTTAAACATTCATTACCATAAAAAATGGAAAAAACAATTGGCATTAAAATAGAAGTTATTTAAAAATATTTACATTGGAATAATTTTAAAATAATTTGGATAGCTGTGAGAAAAGGATCATAAAAGTTCAGATGGCAGCTATAACATGCCATTGAGCATGTTTTTTTTTATGTGCATTGTGGACACTCTCGGACAGCTGGCTACATGCAGTGTTTCTCAACCTTGACAATTTTAAGGCATGTGGACTTCAACTCCCAGAATTCCACAGCCAGCAATGCTGGCTGTGGAATTCTGAGAGTTGAAGTCTACATACCTTAAAATTGTCAAGGTTGAGAAACACTGGGCTACAGGAAGGCATAAGACTGCTGAAATCCGTTTTAAAGAGTTTTTTGCTATTCCTGATGTGGAGTGTCTATTTTAAATCTGTACATTCTAATATTTTTTAACAAATTATATTCCAGTTCTTTTGAAGAAACAGAATCTGAAGAATCAAGGTAAGTTCATTATGATATATTCTTAAGAAATGTTTTATATTATATAATTAATGCGAGATAATTTTTAAAAAAATTCTTAGCATTCTAGCAAAATTGTAAATGTCTTGGTGTGCATTGCAACAGATATGATGAATGCATACCATTTTTTAAATTATTTTTAACAGGAAGCAGTGGGCAAAATAAAGATGTTAGGAGCCACTATTTTGTATTCTTCTTTTGAATAGAAAAGGATTTTAAACTTCTTATATTGAAGTTAATCAGGCATTTAATATTGCATGGTTAAATGTTAATTTTTGAGAGAGCCTAACAAGATATTTTAAAGAAGATTTATAAGCTACAACCTCATTCTGTTATTGGCTCTTATCTGTCAGCTTCTTTATCTTATGTGAATTAACAGTTTTGCATTACATTTAGATTTCCTTTTTCCTTATCTCCTCTTTATGCATTTCTGAACCAGAAAAACTTCCCTATATATTATCTACTGTTATAGCAATTCTGGTTTTGATGCCTAGTGATTAAATTTAACTGTAGTTAAATCTGGTTGTGGTACCATTTTCCTGCCCACAGATCAATATGATATGGACGTCCCTTCTTTATTTACATATTTTGTGTAACAGCTGGGGAAGAAAATTATGATACTTTCTTTAAGTGTCCTAAATCCACACGAGGTCCGGCAGCTGAAATAAATTAATGTAGAAGTCCTAAGGAAAAAAAAGTCACTGAAGTTGCTGACAAGTGCAATATTGAACTACTTACTTTATCCTGAGATTATTTCCAGACAAGCATAACAACTGAACCAGTTTTAGTACCGTGATCATTGGTCTTCCTTGTGAGAAATTAAACCTCTCTGGACTCAGCTGGATTAGGTTCTGAGTAAATATACCTATTCCTCGTATTATATGTGATCTTCTGCATGTAAGCATTATTCCTCGATGATGGATTTTTTTTCTCCTTTCCAATAAAACTGATTTATATATATAAGCAGTATCCCTAACCAGTTCTACTGCCTTACTTTATCAAAGCTAGTTTGTAGTGTATTTGGTTTAGTGTCCCTCGATGGTGATATTCCTGTTCTTGACCTTTACAGCAAACTGTCCCACCAGCCCGTGTTGCTGTTCCTAAGGGATCCATATGTCTTGCCTACAGCCAATGGTAATCAGACCTGTCATCTATTAACAGTTCTTTACTTATCTGCCCCATACCACAAAAACCACATTGTTATAAATGGATGTTGAGCTCAAATTCTAATAATTTGGCAAAATACATCAGGAGTTATTTTAATGCTGTTTAAAGTAATTGCTGAGAAATGAACATTTCTTTTTTGCAGACAGCCCTTCTACAAATAAAAATTAAAAATATATTGTTATCTTGGCTCTCTTACATCAATAGCAAAGCTCTTGGAAGTGAATTTCGAATAGAATGGATATTGTAACACTGCTAATATTTTGATAAGAATTATGAAAACAAATAGTGAATGAAAAATGATCTTTTTTGTGTTCTTATATGTGCTATCTTTTTATTGTAGCTCACGATATTTCACATAACCTTTGCTAATTCCCCCCCCAAATATTCCCAATATCCAGTAATATCATGAATTATACTGTGAAGTGAGCAAAATTAGATGTCTCCAATACAGTTAATGTTCAAACTAAGTCTTAAACTCCCTTCCTCTTTAAGGTATAAAATGTGCTTACTGTTGTGACTGATATGGGCTGGGATATAGTGCAAAAGGAAGAGTATTTAATTATTAACTCTTGTAATAGTTTCTTTGGTTAAATTAATATTGCCAGTCACTCTTAACTGTGGAAAGTAAAGCCTATTACACTTTCCCATTCTTTGGAAAAGAAATAGAAATTTGAATTGGGATTATTAACATGGAATAATTGGTTCTCTGGCTCATATAAAGTTACTGCCCTTGCCAAATCACGCTGTATTGAGTCATGCTTTTTGTAAAGTTAAGATTACACTCATAAAATAAAGCACTAGCACAGTATGAAAAATTAGGTACAATAAAGCCAACTGCTTTCTTCACTTCCATACTTATATTTTTAATTTCCAGTCCATAAGTGAAGAAATCAAAAATTACTTTGAATGCCACCATTTTAGTAATTATTTTTACCTTGGAAATGTTTTCATAGAAGCAGGACTTGCCCGCAAGTATTGAATTGAATGGTATTTTTGAGAAGAGATTAATGGAATTGCACTGTGAGATGCCAGATTCAGAAAAGGAGACATGAAGTGATTAAAATTTAAACAATTTCATTAAAGCTAAAAAAAAAATCAAGAATTTTCCTACCCTTCTCCAACTTACAATATTTATGAATGGAATGATAGTGGTGTTTTACCATTTCAAGCAAGACCTTATTAAATTCAACTCATGTCATTGAATTTAAAATGCAGAAGACAATGAACAACTGAATATTGGAATAATATTAAATATAGGATTATTTTTTCATTCTAGCCATAAAAATTAAAAATTTATAAAACATTGAAAAATATTATCTCTAAGCACTAAAGATAAAATAAATCTCAGTCGCATTTTTTTTTACTGAAATTTTCCTTCTTGTTAATATTTTTATTTAATTCTTGTATCTGCTGTAGTGATTAACTTTGCTTAACTTCTCTCTAGGACTTTTTCCAAATGTTCTTAACGTTGTCATTTTCCTGCTCTAGAGCTGTTTGTGTGACAGCATAAGCCTCTTCCAGTCAACTTGGACAAAACTGTGCTGTAAACTAGAGTGGAAAAACTGCTGTGGAGTATTCCCAGTAGAAATCTTGGAATTCCTTCAAGTGTATTGAGATTTTGTTAGAAATTGAATTGCCAGTGTAATCCATCTTCCTTGTGAGAAAAGATTCAGATAAAGAGCTGGAGCCTAGCAGCATTAAGTATTAGAACATCCCTTTAAATCAATAAGCTACAAATCTGGCGGTGCATTCAAGCAATGCCCAGGGCTACACTAAAGTGGGTTCCTGCTGAAACAGCATTACTAACAACAAATTCTGAGCACAGATAAACATAGTGGTGATGCAATGTCCTAAATTATACCAGGCTTCGCCTTGTTAGGTTCTACAAAAACATTTATATTGTATTGACATATGTAAGGAAGCAGTTTTTCTTCTCTCTTTTTCCCCCAGATGACTTTCCAAATGTAGTTATTGAAGGCATTCTCCATGGATTGTTTTATCCCCACCTACAACCCAGGTAGAAAATGAGTTTGGATGGAAAATAATCAAGAGTAAATTCAAGTTATATTCCTCGATGCAAGCTTTTGAAGACTTTTTTTAAAAAGTAAAAGTCAAAATACTGAAGCAAGACACTCATGTTTGAAGTTGGAACTTTTAAAAATTGTATCACTAAAAATGGCTGCTTTTCAAGATTACAAATGGGGAAAAACGCTACTTGGTTGAACTTGTATACTAAACTCTAAATACTTAAATTTTAAAACAGCTGACAAAATGCCAAATTACACTAGCAAGTTTCATCATGTATTTATAATTTTTGTGTGTCTGTGATAAATCATTACTCTAATTCTTTTGTCTCCGCGTTGTACCCACTGCTGGCAGTGGATACATAAAATATAATAGGATGTATGACTAAAAAATGTAAATGTTAAAAAATAACTGCTAAAACTGGAAATGCAATATAAGCTCACTGTATCAGTATTTCTGATGTCATATTATATAAGTATTATTTTAGGGACAGAAATGTGTATATGCTTTCAGTTTGGTTCAGTCTTAATTTTATGTCATAAACTCAGCTGCAATGCTTTTATTAGCCTAAGCTTAATGTCATTTTCCAAAATTTTATTAATTTTTAACCTTTTGTAATATAAATAAGAATGAACATGATTAATAAAAATAATTAGCCAGTCCAGAGGCAGTTCAACTTGACTATCCTTTTCGCAGTTCCTGGAATTTCCCCTTATTTTATCTGTTAAAAATTGAGCACTTTCCCAAAGGTTTGAGATGGAACAACATAAAAATGTACTCAAAATCATACAAATATGCATTAACACAATTTAAAAATAAGAAATCATCACCAGACCCAGGGGAAAAAATGAAAATACTGCTTCCACGCAAATGTATGGTAAAAATCTGCCAGTTTTGATCTCATCCCAAAGATTTGTCTACCCTGTCAACTGTGCAAATGAACATTCTGTTTATCACCATGTGGAATTCCAAAACCCAAAAACAGTGAAATAATGAACATCTGTAAAAATACCAACTTGTTGGTCACATGTCCATCCACCACTTTGTCAGTTTTGAGTACATGTGCCATGGCTGGCACATAGCCATATTGCGGATGGAGCTGTAACATACTGTGCTTCTTAACATGGGGGATTCACGTCTACCATAACAATTATGACTCTGTGCCGATGGGTACCTGGCACAGCAGAACATATTCTAGTTATCCTCTTCAAGGGCAGTTGCAGTCAGAGGTAAATTTTCCTGTATTTCAGTTGTCTTGGCAGATCGTTCTCTGGGCAGCTTTAGGTTGGCCATTGGTATGAACTTTAGCCAATGTTAAAATGACTTCCTGAATGCCATTGGGGATTTTCCATCTCCTCGGTCAGCGATACCATCAAACCTGATCAAGCAGTAGATATTATTGCTCAAAGAGGCAACAGCAGGTGCAGACAGTATACTCAGATCCTCTTCAAAGCAGCTTTCCTGCCTCGGATCCAAATACTGTGAACCTGTCAAGGAAAGACTTCTTAAAAATACCTTCATTTTCTGAAGTCCATTTGTCTGTCACCCAGGAGAAAACTTTCTCCAATGCTGAACAAAATTCAATTCCCCGTTTCATTCAGCCCTAACATTTTTCCACTGTTTTGAAATATGTCTAGGCTTTTATGGTCAAGCCTTTTCACTCTGAACTGGTTTAACAGTGATGTTAACAGTTTTTATGATTTCAAGTACCCATGTTTTGCTCCTTATTGTTAGCTGTAATGAATATGGGCAGCAATAAGGAAAATAATTCATGACAATAAATAATATTCTTGCCTCGGTTTATATTATTACTATTGTGTTAGGTATAGAAAATGAAAATATATTTACATCTTTTAAAACTAATTGATCTGGATTAATAATAAATTAGGCATGACAAAATAGAGCATTGCTTTAAAACAGTGTATCTTTCACCAGTAGTTTAATATTTGTACACAAGGTAAGTAAACAAGATTTAAACGATAAAATTATAAAAGTAATATGTAACTATAATGACATATTTTGCATTTTGACAAATTCAAACCAAAGTCTAGTTGGAAGGGAAGTCTTTTAATAAATGATATCTATGTATTGTTGAAAAGGATGATGCAAGGTATTTGTTATGTCAGCATAATTTGTTCAATTACATAGTAATTTTTTCATGTCTATTTTCAAATTCATAAATTAGGAAATCCACATACCGTAATATATACTGTAGAAGTGCTGGTTGAAAAATGAGGGGCTTTGTTCAAAGTTTCAAAATTATTACGTAAAGAGATTAAAAATATTCATAAGGTGGATACTAGTAAACAAAGAACAAGGGGCTATAAACATTTGTATTGTATGCTGCAAAGATAATCTCAGTGTCAATCTCTTTAAATCAACACCTATGAAATGTTTTACCCTAGAAAAGTAATAGCATAACATTTCCTCATTTAATACCCAGGTATTTTTTTTACCTGCAAGGTGACCTTGTATAGTCTCTGCAAAGTATTTTCTGATAGAAGCCTCACACAGTGATAACCAGACGTTACTGCAGCTCAGGTGCTCCTATTTCTGTCAACTTCTCCAATCATCTACTTCAATCACAAAGGGTTCTTTTACATCTATTTTTCCACTGTTAATGATCACACAGTCCTGAAGAGGCCGGTCATGGTCATCTGTTGCCTGAAGTTCAATATCATGTACTACTGACTAAAGAGAGAAAGGCTTTTGATGAAAAAATTTACAAAAAATTTTTTGTAAATCCTTTACAAAAATTCCTCATTTCAAAGTTGTTTATATAAACGGCTTTTCAGTCAAAAAAATCAACTTTGCATCACAGCTATGATCAGATGTAATGGTGGGGCTTGCCTTCTAGGACAGAGGTCCCCAACCTTTTGGGCACCAGGGACCAGTTCCATGGAGAAATGTTTTTCCACGGACCAGAGAATGTGTGGGTTTGTGTGCTGCCTGCATCCCACGAATGGGGCTTTGCTTGTTTGTGTGGACCGGTTGCTGGCATGCCGCGGACCGGTACTGGTCCATGGACCAGGGGTTGGGGACCCCTGTTCTAGAAGAAACTAAATCTGAGTGAAAGCTGTCTCCGTTGCTGTAGCTCTCTGTAAAACTGCTAAATCATCAACAGAATATAAACACTGTACCACCTACAATCTTACTGACAAATTAACAAAATCTAAAACCTTTCCCTTATATTTTGCAAAGGAAATAAGGGTAAGAAATTCTTGCTTGATGCTGAAAATGAAACAAAAGGTAATTCTAACCAGCTAGAGAATTACACAACCCTTTCTCCATCAATAAGATGCTTTTTGTATGTATCATTAACTTTTCACTGAAAGTATGCAACTAGTACACCTTTTGAACTAAAGAAACTTACACTCAGAACAGTGTTTTATTTCTAATAAATAAAAGCATTGTAGATTTCACCTACCATTCCATCAATGACTTTTCCAAATACTACATGTTTGCCATCTAACCAGCCAGGCTTTGTTACAGCAATGAAGAACTGGGAGCCATTAGTGTTTGGGCCAGAATTAGCCATGCTGATCCAACCAATGCCATAGTGATTTAGTTTGAAGTTTTCATCAGGAAATCTATCTCCATAGATGCTTTTTCCTAGATAACAAAATACTGTTTTTCATCAGAGGAAGCAAGACTATAAAAGCATTGTTTAGAAAGTTTTACAACACAGGGCCCTCGCTAGTAGAGCTACGCAAAATGTCTTCAACTAGAGTCAGACTAGTTTAAGGGAAGTTGTTGCCACGCAAAAATTTAAGAGTATGAGTAGATGTGTGTGTATGTGTGTTTTAATACAGAGTTCCCCAACCTTTCCGTGTTGGCGGCCTAGAGTGGGGGGGGAGAGGGGATGATTTTGTGGGCGGGGCAGGCACATATGCACGTGCATGCACATGCATGAGCACCCACGACATTTGCGGCAATACTCGTGCGAGTGGAGCCACAAGCACCTGCAATGAGGCTCGCATGAGTCGGACTGCAGATGCCCACGAGGCTTGCAAGAGTGGGGCCACAAACGCTGACGAAGCTCATGCAAGTGGGGTCACAAGTGCCTGCAATGAGGGTCACGCAAGTGGAGCCGCAAATGCACCCAACACTCACAGCGCTGCTTATGCAGATGTACATGCACCAACCAGCCCCTCACATAGCCCGGTGGGAGTTAGGCCACAGCCAGTAGTGGGCTGCTGCCCACAGGCTGGGGTCCTGTTTTAATACACATTACATCATGTATGTACCGGATGGTGCACAGTTATATTATATTATATTATATTATATTATAGTGTGATATATTTAAAGAGAAATGTTTTTATTTTTATGATATGCCATATTTAGATATATTTTGTTGAAGAAAACAATCAGAAAGGGTACATACAGTTCATTCAGAAAGTATTCAGACCTTCTTCACTTTTGTCAATTTTGTTATTCTGCAGCCTAATTCTACAGTAGTTGAAATTATTTTTTGTCATTAATCTACACTCAGTACCCCATAATGACAAAAGCAGAATTTTAGAAATGGCTGTACATTTATTAAAAAGAAAAAACTGAAATATCATATTGGCATTGGTATTCAGACCCTTCACTCAGTACTTTGTTGAAGCAGCAATTAAAGTCACAAGTCTTTTTAGGTATGACATGACAAGCTTTGCACATCTGGATTGAGGGATTTTGTGCCATTCTTCCTTGCAAATCTTCTCAAGCTCAGTCAGGTTGGATGGCGACCATTGGTGGAGAGCCATTTTCAGGTGTCTCCTGAGATGTTCAATAGGGTTCAAGTCAGGGTTCTGGCCACTCTAGGACATTCACAGAGTTGTCCCTAAGCCACTCCTGTTTTGTCTTGGCTGTGTGCTGTTGTCATGTTGGAAAGTGAACCTTCGGCCCAGTCTGAGGTCCTGAGTGCTGTGGAAAGGTTTTCATTGAGGATATCTCTGTACTTTGCTCCATTCAGCTTTTCCTCAACCTGACCAGTTTCCCAGTCCCTGCTGCTGAAAATCATCCCCACAGCATGATGCTCCCACTGCCATGCTTCACTGTTGGGATGATATTGGGCAAGTGATGAGCGGTGCCTGGTTTCCTCCAGACATAACTGTTTAATCTTGGTTTCATCAAGACTGAACAGAGAATCTTGTTTCTCACAGTTTGAGAATCCTTCAGGTGCGTTTTCACAAACTGCAAGGGATTTTCATGTGTTCTGCACTTAGGAGAGGCTGCTATCTAGCCACTCTGCCATAAAGCCCAGATCGGTGAAGGGCTGCAATGATGGTTGTCCTTCTGAAATTCTGTCCCATCTCCACACAGGACTCTGGAGCTTTGTCAGAGTGACCATGGGGTACTTGGTCACTCTTACTAAGGCCCTTCTTCCCCGATTGCTCGGTTTGACCAGGTGACCAGTTCTTGGAAGAGTCCTGGTTCTGCCAAACTTCTTCCATTTGAGAGTTATGGAGTGTAGATTAATGAGAAAAAAATGAATTACACCAACTATAGAGTCAGGCTGCAGCATAACAAAATTGACAAGAGTGAAGGGGGTCTGAATACTTTCTGAATGCACTGTATTATACAGCTTTAAATTGCTTTATTTATTTATATTTAATTTCTATAGTTTTCCATCTCAACCAATGGGCAGCAAACAATGCTAAAACAATTAAAAACTGCCAAAAAATAAATATATACAGCAGCCAAGACAATTATCATAATAATTGTCAGTGAAGCCAAGAAATGAGGCCTGTTAGTAATAGAGCTACACCCACCCCAACTTAATTTTGACCCACACTTTCTATATGACGGGGGGAGACCAAATTCAGGAGCACATAGCTAGGTTTTTAAAGCCTCATGAAAAGCCACCAGAATCTCTGAAAGATGGTCCAAAGGACAAGGCTATCAGCACTCTTCTGATATTTGGACCTGGCAATGTAAATATTCTATAAAGAAAGCAGTGTTACCTCCAGTACCATCTCCAGCTGTAAAGTCACCTCCTTGAATCATAAAATCTTTGATTACACGATGAAATTTGCTTCCTTTATAACCAAATCCTTTCTAAAATTTAAAACGACACAGTTGCAGTTCAGTAAAGTTGCTACAATTAACAATGGATGCAATTAAATGTTTAACAAAACAACTATTGTGTGTTTGGCTATTTAATTTAAATGAGGAAAAAATCAGAACATCCTGTTAGTAGTAATCAGATCTACACCCACCCCTGGCTTAATTTCTATACCTTTTCTGTATGAGGGGGAGAGACCAGCTCACTCTATCCCCCCCCTGCACCAAGCCAACCAGGCCTGGAGGAGAACCTTCAAGACGTCAACTCTGAACTGAAAAGGAAAACTTGAACTTTTGTCTATTGCTAGAAAATAATGGATCAGTCACTACTGACATCAGATAAATAAGGACATGTGACAAAATTACTACTACTATTAAGTACATATATTTCTTTTCTATTAAATATGAAAACAAAGCTTTTTAAAAAGCTCTTACCTCTCCAGTTGCAAGTTTAATGAAGTTTTCTACTGTCTTTGGTACTACCTTTCCAAACAAGCCAATTACAATTCTGCCAGCATTTCTGTCACCAATCTGTACATCAAAGAACACCTGGAAATTTTCAAAAATAGAAAAAGGAATCACTGTCAATATATCATTATTAGACTAGGCTATTTATTAGCTATTTAGTAGAAGATAAACAGTTGTATTCTAAATAATGTGCTTTTCAGGTTGTAGAAGGAACTTTTCTAACAAGATCTTTAATCAGGAAAAAAGCCTTTTGGTTTATCATTTCTCAATGTCTTCTCCCACTTCTCTAGATTATATTTATAGCATGGAGATGGGAATAGTCACTTCATAAGTTTCATGCTACCCATTTCAGAATGTAAAGAAATATTAGCTACACTTGTTTTCTACCACTAACTATGCATATATATAAACTAAGGCTTATACTTTTATAACCTTCCTACATTATGATCTCAAGGTTATAAAGGTCTGTATCAAGTGGATTACAAGTTCAGAAATACAGCTGTGTAAGTAAGTCATAGAGTCAAATGTTATAACAATTCCTGACTTTCTAACAGAAATACTCTTCACTGTCTATCCATGCTACACAACACTTTAATATTTTTCTTTGTTGTTGTTTTTTATTTTCTAACCAAGATTCAAAACTATGTCTATTCAAAATTTTCAGTTGTCATTGGACTGCTTTTGGGTAGTAAGGGGTATTGAGTTTATCCACTTAAGAGTTTTAAAGAACGAACTTTTTCAACTTTTTCATCACTGCATCAAAAGTTGTTACTTCTCAGTGTTTCTCAGTCAGTCCATTTTGGCTCCCATCAATAGTCAAGCTATCCAAGTTCACGATTAAAGAAAGCAATATTCAGATCTTATTAAGCGATCATGATTTTTCACTTAACACAATACAGTAGCTACTTAGTTTAAATGCTAAGATTTAGAGAAGGAAAACACTATGAGCTTTCCTTTAAAAAAATAATAAAAATGGCAATAAAAAAACCATGCTGTTACCCAGTGAATACATATCCTGCCAACAACGCCAAAACTGCCTGCCGTCCTCACACACCATGGTCTTGGCAAAAGCTAAGAAATTACCTGAAGAACCATCTTGTTCCAATTACATCAGTCTGTCCCATCAGGCAGGAGATGTATTTAGGGACCCCATCAGTTAAAGAAATTTTGACTGGTGTGGTTTCTGCCACTGCCCCCCGCCCAGAATATCTTGTCCCCAGAGGTGAGATTGGTCCCCATTCTTTTGACTTTCTAAAAGAACATGAAGACTTGACTCTGCCAATTGGCATAGGGATTGGAGACGGGGGGGATGGGGAACCCACCCCTGGGGTACTTAATGGCCTAGATGCATTCCTGCCATCTTTTAACTTGTTTTTATTCTGTTCTTCATTCTGTTTTAATTTAGCTTTTAATTATCTCTTTTATGTGGTTTTATTTCTAAACTGCTCAGAGTCACTTGGATGGTGAGATCGGCTGTATTTTTAAGTATTTATAAACTGGTAGATATTTAGATTCAAGCTTCAATGAAGCTGTCCATTGGCTAGAAAGCAATACACAGAAGAATATTAAACCATGATGGATGAGCTTTGTTAACTGATACCAAAATGTCAATCTTTTTAAGATCACAGTTTCCACTGGGCTATGATCTCATAATGTCTGCCCTAAGCTCCCTTTCAGAAATATGTTAGGAAAGCAGAACAGGAAGGAGGGGTGGCAAAGCAGTGATATGATCCAGGTTTCAGAACTCCCCCAAAATTAGAAATTGGGGTTAAAGGTAGGGGCTCTTGAGTTTGGAAGCACAGATGGTTATATGATTATATGAACTGCATATGCTGCAAAACAGGTATAAGAATTAAGTGTTATTAAAATGGCCATTATTCTTTTATGCTTTTCAGTGTCTATCTCAAGAAAAATCAGGATTCCTCATCAATTGGTCCTGATTTGATATCTATTGAAATTTGCTATTTATTATAGTGACTAACTCTATACAGTAAGGGAATTACAAATCCACCCCAAGGTTTTCAGATTGTCAAATGTTAGAACCCACCTGGCTTTTGTTCTTTTTTGTTCCAGCTAAATAACCAGGGCATAGCAACATCCCATATTTCTACATGAAATCAAACCATTTTCCAATGGTCTAATTAAATACCCTAATATTTTAGAATAATATAAATATTTAGACAATTAGTAAAAGGAAAGCGCTACTATAGGTCTCTTTACCAAGATTCGTTAATAACAAGAAAAATAGAATTATTTGTTTATTCAATTTCTATAGCATCTCAACTCAACTAAGTGACTCTGGCCTGCTTACATTATGTTTGTGTTATCTCCTTTTTAATTCAGAAAACCACTAGTTTATTTTTTTGAATAATTAGTTTAACAGCATTATATCACACAAGGTTCATACAAAGCAGTAAAAAAAATTTCACTAAGGATGATTTATGAACAGAAGCACTGAATCAACTATGGGCTTTAGATACTAAAACATAATCTGAAACCATACTTGCTACTGGTGTCCTGATTACAGGCAAATAGGGACATATGTTTATGTATTCTTTTTGGTGCTCCATTCATACATCTAGCCCAGACATGTCAAACACAAGGCCTGGGGGCTGGATGCGGCCCACGAAGTGGTTTCATGTGGCCCGCGAAGCCATCCTGGAAACAATGAGGGAACGGCCCCCGCTGCCTTGGCCCTGGCCCAGGCCAGCCGGGAGCCAATGTACAATTTTGTGGTGGCCATCTTGGCATTTGCCCCGGTGGACCATGCCTTGGCACTTGCCCCTGTCCCACCCCCTTCTGCCAGAGACCCTCAGATCTGTCCCACTTCTGCCCAGGCCCCCATAGGCACCCTTGACGCAAATGATGTAGAACTGGCCACGACCACCCAGTAGGCCACACCTATTCCATCCACGCCCACCCAGTAGGCTGCACCCACTTTGGCCATACTCACCTGCCCCCCCCCACAATGCTGATGCGGCCCTCAGTGAAATTGAGTTTGACACCCCTGCTCTAGCCAATCTGCTGAGATACAAGGCAAGATCAGCTCAGAAAAAAGTAGCTAGTATTACTTTGCTTCATCGCAAATGCTTTATTGCAAATACTGTATACTTCTAGAGCAGTGGATAATAATTATACAATCTATGCAGGACAAGAATCACTTCTCATTTATCCTCTTCTACTATGGAGTTTCATAAAATAAAAACAAATTGAAGGGAAACTACTCTTTCGAAGCAATTAAATTTTAAGAAAAAACAAAATATTTTTTTTAAGTTCTAAGGTTGAGAAAATCCTTACCTATCTATATTTTTTTTTGCCTGCCCAAGATTTTTCCTTGCTTCTTGTTGTTAATATTACATATAAAACTTTCTTAGGACACATCTTAAGAAATAATCTGAAAGCATGGAAGCAAAAAGCTTCTTCATCTCACCTTCTTAAGCAGTTCTCACTAAACAAAGTTAACAAATTATATTGACAAATCTTGGTGTAGGTTCTTCTATTCATATATACACACATGCACACTGAAAGAATAATCTGAGACAAGTACATTTAAAATTACTGACCTTACATTTACCTTTTCTCTACTACTTTTCATACATTCATAATTATATTGTTTCAATTTTAAGGGATGTGTTTTTAAGGGATAAACCTTCCAGTCACAGCTTCCAAGGCTGTATTGCCTAAAGAAAGTCTATATACTTTAACCCAAATTCAACTGTAAGTCACAGTCCGACTGCTACATGCCTCCAGCAGATTGATGCTCTTGCACAAATCAATGATATGTATCCAATAGTGATGGAGTCTTCTCCTATCTATAGAAACTGGTTCTTCCTGTAGGAAGTTTTTATCTCAAGTTCATTCCAGTTCCTTCGTTCACAAACATATTCAAGCAGGATCCTCACTAGTGATTTCAAGTGTCTTATAACAGCCATTACTGAAGCAATGTAAAGCCTGTCCTCATTGCTGTTATTTCAATAGAACAATACTTCAATGCTTCTAGAATGTGCTAAAACTCATTCTCTTGATCAACTAATTGCAGCACACACAAAAATTCTGCAGACACAGTCTACATTTATCTTTAGCTATTTTGGGTTTAAAGGTGTGTTTTCTCCGGATGTAAGTCTTGGTGTATGAACATAATACAACATATCACTGATAAAACAGATGGCAAAATTGTGCACTGGAATTTTCTCAGCTCTTACTGGCCAAGTTGCACATCTCTGTTTTGGAAATGGGAATAGCTCTTTCTGCATGGAAAACTGAATTAAACTGGGAAAAAGAGCTAGGTTGTACCAGCTGTCTATTAGTGGTTCTGACACTAATCAGTGTGCTATAGTTCTTTTTACTGTTCCTGCTAACAAGCATCAGATAACTCCATTTATTACTTTTACAATTTCATTTCATTTTCATTTTATTATATTTATACCCCGCCCTTCTCCCGTAGGACTCAGGGCGGCTTACAGCCAGTTTAAAAACAGTTTAATACAATACAATACAAAGTTTTAAAAAATCATTAAAAATAAATAACAATGAAGTTATTTTGAGTACTCCATAGGCTACTTCAGGTACTGATTGCCATGGCTTGTTCCTGCCAACTGTCCTTCTCTTGCAATAGATATTATTTGGAAGTATGTGTGAAATGGACAACAGGTTTGCCAATTTCCCATTCTAACCCCAGCAAAAGGAAGATCAGTAGACCTGTGTACAAAAACAGTCCATCCTATAGATCAGTGGGATGTAGGACATATTCTGGAATGAAGCAGGAGACTGTCATCTTAGCATAGATCTCCTCACTTATTCTATACACCTCCTCTGCTTCACTGGCCCAGTCAGCTAGATTATTTTTGGATACATCTATACTGTTCTTCCAGTATACAAAAATAGCCCAGGAAGAGATAACATTGACAAAGGTATGCAGAAACTGTTAAGAAAGAAGAAAAGATAACTTAGTTCTGAGAGAGGAGAAAGCGTAAGAAATTCAAAATAATCCTTGTTTTGTTTGACAAGAGGGAACAAAGAAAAACTCTGGCAAACTACAAAATTCTGTGACTGTACCGTTCAACCACAATTGAGCCCAATATTTATGTTGCTAAGTGAAACATTTGTTAAGTGAGTTTGCCCCATTTTATGACTTTTCTTGCCACAGTTCTTATGTGAATCGTTGCATTCGTTAAGATAGTAACAAGGTTGTTAAGTGAATTGGGATTCCCCATTGACTTTGCTAGTCAGAAGGTCGCAAAAGGGGATCACATGACCCCAGGACCCTGCAACGGTCATAAAGATGAGCCACTTGCCAAGCATCTGAATTTTGATCATGCGACCGTGGGGAATGCCGCTACAGTTGTTAAGTGTGAAAAACGGTCCTAAGTCGCCTTTTTCAGTGCTGTTGTAACTTTGAACGGTCATTAAATGACCGTTCAACTAAATGAACTGTTGTAAGCTGAGGACTACCTGTATTATTCCTGTGATCCTTTGTGATGTCTGTTTCTTGAGTTGGCTATCTTGAGGGCTGACATCAAGTGACAGGCTGTCTCCATACTGTCAGCCAATCTTTAAAAAGTCTAATGCAAGGGTCCTCAAACTTGGCCACTTTAAGACTTGTGGACTTCAACTCCCAGAATTCACCAGCCAGCTATGCTGGCTGGTGAATTCTGGGAGTTGAAGTCCACAAGTCTTAAAGTGGCCAAGTTTGAGGACCCCTGGTCTAATGCCTCCATCCTGGTCACCCATACTCATCCATACTCATACTCATCCATACTGACACTCCCCAAAAGCAGCCTTACGGCGTGACCCCCGTTACTGGGGTAAGGGGGCGGTCAAATGACAAAAGTCACCGAAGTCACAAGAGGGATGGGCAGAGAGGACTGTAAAATTGGTGCACGGTTTCTGCAATTCAAGCGGGGCTTTGCAGACGACGCTGCAAAACCCCACAGCTCGTGCATGAGGAAAAAGGCAAAGAAACAAGCCAAGCGGGGAGAAACGCCTTGGAAACCGTCGAGGCGAAGCAGCGCCCGCCTCCCGAAGTTAACTTTTTAGCCTCTGCAGCGGTGGGGGGGGGGAGGTGGGGAAGGGGAGGGGCCTATATCCCTCCCGCACTCTGGCTCCTCCCCTCAGGGCGACAGTCACCTTCGCGGTCACGGTGGGTCCTCGCCTTCGGGCGGCCTCGGCCCCTGGAAGGCGCTCCCGGCCGCCCCAGGAAAGGCACAGGAGCAGCACGAGCGGCGCGAGGCGGTAGCCCATCCTCCGGTCCTCGCCGTCCCCTCCGCCACGTCCCAGCGCCTGCGCGACTCTCCCTGGCGGCTGACTCTGTGGCAGGGGGCGGAGCAGCGCGGAGGGAAAGGCGGGGCGGGGCGGGGCGGGGCCTGCAGTCGCGAAGGGAGCGCTTCCGATGCGTTTCGCCCCGCGGACGGCTGCGGCACATGGGCTTCTTTGCCTTGCCTGGAGGGTGGCGGTGGCTCCCGCTGGGGGTGCGAGCTGCGGATGCGGTGCTCCGGAGCGCGGCGCCGAGGGCCAGTCGCCCAGCGTGGAGGGTCGTTCAAATGCCATGTTGCGGACTTGAGAAGATGGAGAACTTCTAGCACGGTTTTAACCTCCCGATTTTGAAATGAAATAAATGGGCGTTATTATTCCTTTTTTTCTTCTTTTGCCCGAAACAAGTTGGATACTATTCAGAGGCAATTATTTGTATTGTATATTAGCCTGAATATTGATTGATGGTTGATATCCAGCTGGCAGCTGATGTCAGAGCAAAATACACTGAATTTCTCCTATAACTTAAAATATTTTTAATATAACATAAAATGGGTTTAAGTAGGTTTGTGTAAAACCTGCTCCTGCTTATGTTACAGTGTGGACTGTTCCTATCCAGCCTAGGGAGGCAATCCTATCTTATTTCAGAATATTCCTTTAATTTGCCCTGCTCATCACAAAAGATCCTCAGCAAGCCAAGGACAGATTCCAAACCATTGGAATTGATTCTGGCATTTTATTTTTAACCCACAGCTTTCTCCTACAAACTTGTGTGTGTGTCTGTGTCTGTGTTTGTATATTTCTTCTATTCAATCGCATCCATTTCTTGGCATGATTTTGTAGAAGTGGTTTGTTATTGCCTCCTTCCTAGGGCTGAGAGAAAGTGACTGGCTCAAGATCACCCAGCTGTCTTTCTGCCCAAGGTAGGACTCACGCTCTCCTGGTTTCTAGCCTGATGCCTTCATCATTATGGCAAACTGTCTCTCTTTATATTGTTAGGCTCCAGATCCTAAAGGCAAGATAAAACTGAAAAAAAATTATGTTTCTTGATAATGTGATTCTGGCGTCATAGTTAAAATTCAGCCCCTGACTGGGATTTTTGCCCAATTTATATCATATAAATTAGGCTATAGGATATTGCCAGATCTGAACAATCAAAAGGATGATTACCAGGATGATTGGAGTAGCATTTTAGAAACAGGAAATGTTGAAAGAAATCAATGTCAAGGAAATGGTACCTTCTAAATCAATGACAGCCACGGTTTTAAGCCAGATTTTGTTTTTGTTAACTATCATAGATTCTCTTACATGAGTTGGCCCTTTGCTTACAGGCCAGAACAGGCAAACAATAAAGTTACAAGTTACACAGTTGATGCTGTTCAAGATTGTGATACATAATATCAGCACATAAACCCTGAAAAGTTTAACATGGGCCACAGTTTAGAAGCAATTCAACCCTTACAACAGACAAAAAGAACTGGGTGTTAAAGCCTTTGCAAAACTGGGTCATCCTGTAATATTCTTTGCAGATATTTTCCTGACATCTTTTTCTTAAACTTTTTTCTCTTTTTTGCGGCAATTTTTTATCAGTTTGACATACAAATAAATTATAATTGCTTATTGACAGTTGCTATTTTAACAGATGACACTGACTGATTTTGTAACATTTTGAAATTGAATGAAGTACAAAGAAAAGGTATGTTTTACCATATAATACTATGTTCTGCTTTGTGTGAAATAAACAATATTTCCATTAAACCCTTTAAACATGTCTCTGTGTTACGATTTATCTTACGGATAAAGAAATATTTCAACGGCAAACTGTAGTAATATATCTTTCCCATAAAAATACCATGACTGTGACACAGTAGTTCTGTTCAACTTCTCTAGCTCTTTTCAGCCACCACTATTGCCAGCATAATGTTAAGCTGTAAATCTTCTTAGCAAAAAGTTTTATTTGCCCTTATTCAGCAGGCATTCATAAAGCTATAGTGGTATAAGTAAAGGACAGTGGAGTTTCAGAGTCAGTCAACATTCCTTCATGGAAGGCAAGTGAGTCTCACTACTGTTTATCTTACATGCATGCAATAGTATATAATTGCCCTTCTGCCCAAAGGAGTTTAAAATGGGGTTGGGGGGGGCAAATAATGAAAGAAGCTCCTTTTTTATCTGCATTTTGATTTTTTGCACAGAGACATATGAATGAAAGAGAGCTGCTTTCGTCTTGGTGAAAACATTGGCTCCTATGAACACCTCTGATTCTATCATATGGCCAGTGCGTGGGTTGCACAATGCATTTAGTTTATTAAATGATTATTAAATGAATGATCTGGGTTTGCATAATGCAATGAACTGATAGGTGTCAACGCTGCTAACATCGGATCTTTTTGCATTGACAACAGATGGAAATGTGGCCATCTTTTACCTTTTGCTTCTAGAGTTAGATGATGCTGGGAGAGGGGATGTGAACGAGAGGTCAGCTAGACATAACAACACTAAACCTAGTGTGAGAAACAAGGTTATTGTAACCAGAGCTGATAAGGTATTGGCAGGCTGGAGAACTGGAGAGGAAGCCCATGCTTCAAGCTAATTGGGGAATGTGATTTATGAATGTTAATTGGAGGAGGGAATTGTGCTTTTGATATTATGTGCTCAGGGGAGGGGAATTCAGTTTTTGGCTTCAATTATGAAGTGCCGATATTATGCTACTCAAAATAAAGATTCTTTAAGGTAAACAATGCCTTAAAGTTTCTTTCGAAGAGTTTCATCTGTCGGAACTATGACAATAGGTTTATATAAGACAACAAAAAAGTGAAATGTGTTAAGTCTGATTAAGAAAATTGACTGAACTAATCCATGGGGTCAGAAATTAACTTCAGAGTTTTTAAAACGGATAACATATCTAGTTACATGTCATTAAATATTTTGCTACTTTGCTACTATCTGTTCAGGGACCAATAAAGCTTCATAAATCATAACACTTTTTTTTCAACAGTGATGGTTTGTGAAGTCTGATGTTTTTGAGGATTAGTGGCTATATCAGAACACAGAATGGCAAAATTATATCAATAAAAAAGGTATTAGTTCCCCAAATATCCAAACAAATTGGATGATCAAAAATGTGTAATATATCTACTTTTTAAAAAAGGTTGCTTAAAATCAAATCAATCAAAATTTAATCTAAATTGCTAAAATTTAATTTAATCAAATATAACAGTGTTTCTGTTTGACATAGTTTTCATAGTATTTTACAAGAACAGACAAATTGTATGCACAATTTGAAATATTGTTATTGCATGATGAAGTGGACATGTAAGATATATTAATATTAATTTAGTAAATTGATTGTTTAGATTTGTTTTTCAACTCGTCTTTTTCATTTTTCATTTTCTTCATTTCTACAATTTCATAACTAATTTGTCAGTTATTACTCTTTGTTTTTTACTTTGGTATATTTTGTTTTTTCTACATTTCTCTTTATAAAAATTGCAAAAAATTAAAAGCAAAGAATGATTCTGAACATCAAAGATGTATCATTGTCATGCTGATGATTTTTAAGGCAGGCCTAGAAATTTACAGTGTCCTGGCTTCAAGGCTAATACTTTAACCACTGAATTATACATGCTCTCTTAAAAACTGTCTAAAATCCCTTGTTTCCACATCCCATCTCCAATTAGACAAGCTAGCATCCCAGAATGCTTTTGTTAATGGTCATCGCTTTAAGAAAAGAAAGTTACTAAGCATTATGCCAAGTTTATCAGCACATCCAAGGGATGGTTGAAGCCATTAACACTGATAGAAAACTGATTGGAAATCATAGTCCTTTAGCATTTGAAAGAGAGTGATTCTCTTCTATGAACATGCTCAGACTTTCACTATCCCACTATCAACAAAACAATGTTATGAGCATAAACAAATTCTTTTGGATGCTATCCTCAGGTTCTTAAAAAAGATTCTGCCAAGAGAGGTCAGCTTAGCTTCCTCTATTACATCCCTCCATCAGTAGGCAAAGCATTTTAAGGAGACCAGCATTTCTCAACCTTAAGATAGTTGGATTTCAACTCCCTGAATGGCTCCCATGCTGACTGGGAAATTCTGGGAGTTAGTCTACCTATCTTAAAATTGCCAAGGTTGAGAAATACTGATCTAGACAGACTTTAAGTATATAAACAAGGCTGGGTGCTGGAATTGATTGCAATTGTTTGGTTGTTGCTACTTTTATTGATGTATTTTAAAAGTTCAATATGTTTTTATTTGTGTTTTAATTGTGCTTTAACAATCTGATTGTTAGCTCCATTGCATGCTAGGATGTAAATTCAACAAATAAATAATTGCACTAATTACTCAGTGTCAGAGGAATTTAGGGCAAGCTTGGGTTCAAATGCCTCTGAACATGGAGATTAGTTATAATATCAAACAGCTGTTAATAAACTTAACCCCTTCACAATAGGATTTTTTTTTATTTTGAGCAACACCAGCTAGAAAGATGGTTCTTTGCTTTAAAAACATATGTTTGACCTGTTTTTCAGATTTGTCTTACTATCCCAATTTTATTTATTGCATAACATTTTCTGCAATATTATAAATAAATTCAAGTAGAGCCATGTGATAATTCTGTTAGGACTAATTCTTTTAAATGAATTTGGTGATCCTAAAAAAGTTATTAGCTATGTGTTTTGGGACTCAATATAAATGTTTGTTTTTTAAGCCCCAATAATAATTGTTTATTATATTGTAATGATCTTCTGAGGCATAATGAAATATTAGATTTTTTTTCCAGATTAACTTTTCAGAGCATATGCATTAAAATGAAAACTTTAAAGTTAGAGAGACTGATACAATTCCATTTTTTTCTGAATAGGCTAACACTACATTTAATATACAGTGAACAACTGTATACAGTATACCAGTTGCAGTTCACAAATGGCTAACCTTGCAATTGAGCCTATAAATTTTACTAAGTTCTAACAACATTCAAACATTCTTCCCTT